GGATGGATGATGGATGGATGATGGATGGATGGATGGATGGATTGATGAATGGATGGATGATGATGGATGGATGGATGATGGATGGATGGATGGATGGATGGATGATGGATGGATAATGGATGGATGGATGATGGATGGATGATGGATGATGGATGGATGGATGATGATGGATGGATGATGATGGATGGATGCCAACACACACGTTTGTAGCAGCAGTAACGACTTTCTGACATACTGAAGAAAACAAATACATTTAAAATGTAGCTTATAGAACTCCAAGTTATCTAATTAATAATGAAACAACGTGTTTTGAATGTTTGTGCTGTTAAACATCAGTAACTACTTTTCATGTTTCTGGTTGAATCTTCAGACTTTGTTAACGTTCCTCTTCAGATGTGCAGCCTCTGGACCTCACCACGGGACGTTTGATGACGTGGTGTGCAGGTTTGCTTCAACCATCGAAGAGAACCGGAAATAATTACGTTGACGCAACACCGAAGCCTTTTTATGCTCGAGTTATTCAATGTTTGGAGGCGTTTGATTTAACAAACGAAATGTTCTGGTACAAGTCCTGAAACGGAGTGAAAAAGTCCAAAAAAGATTCGAAAAGTCTGGAAAACTGTCAGTCGAGACTGGTTTTAAAGAACCAAGGAAAGTCTGGATCAGGGGGAGGGAGATCGGATGAAGTGTTTAATCAGGAGTTTAATTTGTGTAAGATCATTAAATTAAGTGAAATGCTGAACACACGGGTTATTTTGGGTGGTTTGGACTGCAGCTGAACCCTGATGGTAAATCCGTTGAGCTTCCTGTTTTCATGGCTGACTTGCTGTGAATCTGTGGCCCAAGTCTGAACATTTCCAGTTTACGGTTTTCAAAACACGCTCACGAAAACCTCCTACTTAAGACACGTCAGTAATAAAATGTACGAAGACGTAAGAACAGTTCACTTATAAAAGAAGGAGGAGAAATATCTGAGCAAGAACAATTGTGTAATGAGGAAAAACCTGTTAACAACGTAAGCACCAAATAAAACAGGGAATATTGTTTAAAACTCTATTTTTAGTGTTTCGTGTATAAAACGGAGGTTTTGGTGCGAACAGTGTCTTTCCCAGCCGTCTCTGCACTCTACGTATTACTTGTTCTGTATTTGTGGGGAATACTCGTCTCCCCCCGCCCCCGTGTGCTGTGGTGCATCTCGAGTCCTGCTCTCTTGTCCTTTGGGGTCTATATTCAGGAAGAACAATATTTTTATTCGCTGTTATGCCGATGACACTCAGATTTATTTTACTTTAAAAGTGGATGTCTCTGGCCTGCTGCTGTTTAACTGTTTACATGACGTCAAAACCTGCTGAACTCTGTTTT